AACTGCCTTTTATTTTTTATGGCCTTTTAAGCAATCTCATGGCGCCGCAAGTACTAAATTGTACTTGAAGAAATCTGTTTAAACTCCTGAGGTGTTTACCTCAAATATTTGAGGGTTTTACTTAATTTCTTCATATTCCTAGCGGGGTCCAAAACTCCACAAGATGGAGGTTGCACAAATCCATGTAAATATTTCGCTGTGATGAGAAGGCACTCGGAAATGGCTTCCAGCAATAATTCACTCACTGATATAGCGTTTGGGAGCTCCACTTTTCAGGGTTATTTAAAGCAGCACTAATTAATCACTGAATCGAGTCAATGAAACAGAAATTTCGTCCTCCCGTCGGCTTTCGAGCCAATAAAATGTGCCGAGTTACCAATACAGCATGCGTATCAGCAAGCTGGACTTACTTTACACCTACTCAACAGAGAGGGCGAATACAGATTTGGTTAAAGCATGTGTCGAGTTATGTTTTTTAATATTATATTTGAATGAACTACAAGTTTTTCGACTTTATTTTTTGAGTTTTTTGATCTAACATCCAGCATTTTTGGCTTTATACTCAAAATACCTAACAGTAAAGAATCACGGCAGAATCGCAATAAGTCCCTTGATGCGAAATGGCGTATGAATTATCAAATATGTGTATAAGAGACTAGGCATTTATGACTTTTCTGGACTTAACGTTGAAGTGTTTCATGACGTTAACGCTTTTTATAAATTTTTCGATAAATATTAAAAGAAGACAGCCAATTATCCTTGCAAGTGCAAGCATCAATTTAGCATCACACCCTTGCAATTCGTTTGGCCAACTACACTCTCCGGAAGTTTCTAATATTTCATATTTCTGGATTTAGGCTCTTACTTACGACGGCATAAATCAAAAATGAATCAACTGGCCTTTCGAGGAATAAAATTCTTAAAAAGAGCAAGGAATTACCTGGATGACCACCGCGATGCATCGCGTTGATGGACATGGTGCTGGGCAAGGAATGTATCAACGGACGACGGCCGGCGGTCCATGTCCGTGTTGCCGAAGCTCTCACAACATGGACTTGCGCTGCGCCAGTCATACGACAAACTTTCCAGGCATGCTAAAACAAAATAACGTGATATCAAGCGCTTCAGTAAGTTCCTGCGTGCCAATCCAGAATACTATTATAGACGGAAAATCAAATACTGCATGGAAGCATAACAATGCTCATGGAGCCCTCAGAGTAGTAATTTCAGCATAAATGACTGCTGAACTCCCGTAGGCAAGAGAACGAGACACGGAAGATTGATGCACGTGCAGCTTTTTCAGATCCATGGTTGCAGGTCCACTTGGAAAATATAAGCTTAAATCTGGTGCATCTTGAAAACCTGTTTAGATGCATAATGCGTAAATAAATGCTCAGATGAATGAAGCACATTTGGCGACCAATAAACAACGCAGTGCGTCGGATCCCCGAATTATACGTTTTTGTAAGATATTTTGGTACTTTGGTGAGTTGTTGCTTCATCGTCACGTTCCCTTTCAACAGTTCTCCAGTTTCTTTAATTCTACACCTGTCGCATTCACGTAAACCCAAAGAAGTGTTCAAGCGGATCCTTCTACTGCAGTAGTTGTCTTCTTCCAAGTGCTCTTTTATTAGTACAACCGCTGTGTAAATAGCTGCTGAACTTCTTGCCAAGAACGGCGTGAAATTTATCGGGATTTAAAGAAATTTTGAGTGAAAAAGGAACGAACGGTTAGGAGAGATACCAAATAGGAAAAGTTACAGAAACCTGCCAACAGCAAACTAAACTCATTCTTCATGTTCACAGTGAAAAAAAAAGGAGGACACTGCGCTTTTACACAGACTAGCGCCACGAACTCAGTTTCGGCATAAACTTACATCAAAATATGATGCTTACATTAAAATATCTTTTTTAAAGGAATCTTAAATTTGCGAGGGAACTGAAACTCTGACACCCGCGGGACTGTTGTAGTCAATCTCTCCAAACTGTTTGGAACAAGTTCAGCTGTTGAAAAACGAAAACGGTTAAA